AAATATCTGTTAGCATGTTTTATTTCAAACTCAAGTGTGTGTAATAATGGGAMGCATGACACAGACGGCTGCAATCACAGCTGGACTTCCATCGCTCTCTTTCAGCTACTGCAACTATTCTTCCTGTTATGCAAAACTGTAGTCAGACAGAGGCACATAAAGGAGTGTCGCAATCCCCACAAGCGGGTCAGCGACCCACTGGCCCTGATGCTAGACGTCAATAAAAACAGCCATAAAACAGTCAGATTGTGTGCACAGAGTTGTAAGCTGTGGCAGAACAATGGTGTCTGCACTGCAGGACCCTTAAAGCTGAGGGGTTTTATTTAAAGCTGAGGGGTTTTATTTCTCCTCGAGGAACTGAGGTATTTGCATTTTGACAGACTGCATGTGGAGCAATTCAGGAATTCATGCAACTTAAACAATTGTGAGACGTTTTACGCCTTCCTAAGTCCTGACCTATGTCTTTATGATTCTGGTTATGGAACAACCTGAACTAATGAAGGACCCAGAAATAAACTGTGGTCACTTATTGCAGACTTATGGTGTTGTTTTGACAACGCAGTCCATCACAAAGTACTGCTGTAAGTTCTGTGCTTGTGGGATTTTTTTTACACCAAACTTTGGTTGCCTTTTTTAAACTCAGCATCTGCCATGCTGTTGGATAATGCTCCTTCAGATTTTATCTGGGATATTTTCAGCATCGGCTTATCATAAACCTTTATCAGTAAAACCTCAAAGAGCATAGGTCTTCCTGTTGTTGCTGATTTCAAACAATTTGCAACAGAGAGYGATTTAAACCACTCTAACCTCAGCCACAAACTGACAAGAGGTGATTTCCTGTTAAGTTTCACTATTTCTACTTTTTTAATCTCTTCTTTTGATTAAGATCAAATTCTTAGATATAGATGATAAAACACAGGTAGTATTTTTTTAAGTACACAAGTATGAAGATTATTTGGAAGAAGGATATATTTACAATAAACTGTGTATATACTGATATTTGATAGTTTTTTTCTTTGTTTAACTCCATTTTTTATTATAAGTTTTACAATTTAATTTTTGTTTTATCTATTCTTGTAAATAGGATAGTACAAAGATTAAAGAGAAAAGTGACAAATGATACAAATGAGCCTCTTCTGAGACATTTTTCACTTTTAGTGAAACAATAGTTCTAACTGTAGTAAAACAAACTTGTTATACACGTCAAAGTCGTAGTGCCCAAAATATGAGTTCAGATTAATCCAAACCACATTTAGGATCTTGACAATAGCAAGAAAGCACTTGTAAGAAAAGAAGTGCATCATCTGCAAAAAGGGCTAATCTTAAAGGGATCCATGATTAGTTGTAATATTAGACTTTATTTGATAAACATATATTTTAACTGTAAAATAAAGACTGTAAAAATACTGTAGGAGGTTCCGTTTTAATCATTTTTTAAACTAAAAGTTTAAATATATATTACACAGATGCATTTTATTTACACGCAAAGCATTCTGGRTAAATGATGACATCAACTAGGTCATTGGCACGAGGCTGCTAGCGAGCTATATCCACCCTGAAGGTTAATCTTGGACAATATCCGATGATCGACTCTTTTAAATGAAACCAGAGAGCGTTGACAGAGAGGAGAAGGTAGAAATGACTCAGCCTGTAACTGAAAATATGGATGGAGGACAACAGAGCTGCTTCATGGAAGAAGAACCTCAGCTTAGCCTGTTAGCTTTAGCATTAGCCCTGATGCTATCACCATATACTGTATGTATTAGCTCAGCGCTACATTCTCCTCTCGTCACTGAGGTCCTCCATCCACATGACAGAGAGAAGAACACAAACATGACTCAGTCTGCAACTGAAAATATGGATGGAGGACCTCAGTTTAGCTTGTTTGTTATGCTAGCGCCGAGCTAATACATATAAGGCAATATAGTGTCGGTGCTAGCGCACAGGCTAGCAGGTTAAACTGAGGTTCTTCTTCCATGAAGCAGCTCTGTTGTCCTCCATCTATATTTTCAGTTACAGGCTGAATCATTTCTACCTTCTCCTCTCTGTCAACGCTCTCTGGTTTCATTTAAAAGAATCAATCATCAGATATTGTCCAAGATTAACCTTCAGGGTGGATATAGCTCACTAGCAGCCTTGCACCGAGGACCTATCCACGTCATCATTTACCCAGAATGCTTTGCGTGTAAATAAAATGGCTCCGTCCATGTTAAAATATATTTTTTAAAATTTACAAAACTGAACAGCCTACAGTATTTTTACAGTCTTTATTTTACAGTTAAAATATATGTTTATCAAATAAAGTCTAATGTTACAACTAATCGGGGAAAGGTCCAGTACACAAACTGGTTCAGTTTTTTATTGCTGCCTTCTATCTTTAGAGCCTAAAACTTGTTGTTACAAGCCCTTGGCATGTTCTTTCAGTTTTTAGCTGGTTGTACCCTATCTCAGGCAAGACTTTCAGGCCCTTAATTTGGCCACAGTTTGATCCTCTTGAGTCTTGCATCTTTGCTTGGTGAGTATTTTTTATTTCCCCAAGCTATGTATTAATAGAATCCCATCACAAAACAAACATTGTTTTCGAGCAACTAGAATCTTTAAATTTTAATTAAATTTAGAAATTAAACTCATAATGTTGTCCACCCAAATAAAGACAAGCGGTCAACATTAGGATGCATGGTCTCTGTTGGTGAGTTCTCTAGCTGTGGAGGAAGACGATGAGGGTCTTGACTAAAACAATGAGGAAAATAGGTAAGATATGAGTTAGCATGAATGTTAATATTAAAGTGTGATGAAAACAGAAACTAAAATAGACTCAGAGGCAACAAATTAGGTTTGTTTATTGGTGAATCGCAGTTCACACTTGCACATGATAAAAGGAAACGTGTTTTCAGGTCCCAGCACAATAAAAGAAGCAATAAAAGATAACTAAATAACACTCACACACAGACAAAAATGTACTTGTAAACTAGAACAAAAGTAGGTAAGAACGGTGCAGGTTTATTGTCAACAAGATGGCTTGTTGGCGTCTGGTTTTGTTGTGCCACCCCAGGATTTTCAGTAGCCCCCACAAGGCCATCCCTAGTATTAATATACTTTTGGAGGCACCACTGTCTGTCAGCTAGTGCTTCAATTTTTAGAGGTGTACATGCCAGCAAACAAGTTCAGTCTTAAGCGTGAACATGGTGGCAAACATACAAGAACTTCTGTTTTGAACCAAGGATGAGGTGAAAAAGAGCAAGCAGCACAAACAGCGCTCTGCTCTTCTCCATTGTTACTGTTCATTGACTGCAGCACAAGCACTGAAAAACTATTGACTGCAGCCATCTATTGCGGTGGTTCCCAAACGTTTTAGCTTTTGACCCACAAAATACCAGCAGCAGAGACCTGTGACCCCAGGTGTTGTTAATTGATGAACATTGGGCCTCATGCAAGAACCGTTCGTACGCACAGATTTGTTCTTAAGTTGTGCGTACGAGTGATTTAGTAGAATTTGTGGCATTCACCAATGTTTTCATATTCTAAGATTTTTTTTTTCAGATACGAACAAAATTCACGAGTGGTCCAGACCTGTCGTATATTTTACGAGCAGTCAGTCTGCTGT